GACTCGGGTCCCAAACCTCCATGCCCAAAGCACAAAACTGCTTTCTCCTGCACTACTCGAAAGGAGCAATTTCCCACTCTTTTTCTTTTCTTTTTTCTAAGTATTCATACTCCTTAAAGAAATGGGAAAGATACAGAAAGTCTAAAAGAAGAAAAAAAATCACCCATAACCCTGCCATTGAAAGAAGCCCATTATTAATAGTTGTGCTGTTTCTGTATACTCTTTCTTACAGGATAAAGAAACCTTTATCATACCCTAGGAACCCAGCTGCCAGGCCCGAGGCATTGTTTGAAAGTTGAAACACTTAACGGTGCCTTAAGCAATATTCATCTCATACAACTTATTTCTTGGAGTAAGAATTTCGAACCATTTTGTGCAGAAAAATGATGTTCTACTCCTCGACCCCAACTCAGTGCTGGGTATGAAACCCAGGGCTTTGTTCATGCTACACACACACTCTCCCATTCAGCTACAGCCTCACCTGGAAAATGAGTTTTTATCTGATAGGGCCGGAGAGATGGCTGAGTAGGTAAAGTGCTTGCCTCCCGGGAAAGCATGAGGACCTGAGTTCAGATCACCAGCATCCCCCACACACAAAAAACAGGTATGGCAATTCACATCTGTAATACCAGCATGTGGTAGGAGGAAAGTGAGCAAAACAGTTGGTACCTAGGGTCTTTCTGGCCAGCAAGTCCAGCCAGTCAGTGAGCTCTAGGCTCAGTAAAAAACTCTGTCTCAAAAAAAAAAAAAAAAGTGGTTTGGAACTGGAGAGATGGCATAGTAGTTAAGAGCACCTGCTGCTCTTGCAGAGGACCCTAGTTTGGTTCTCAGTACCACATAGAGGCTAACAGTTATCAGCAACTCCAGTTCCAGAGAATTTGATACCCTCTTCTGGCCTCCTCAGGTTTTGCACATATGTGGTACACCTACATACATGCAGGCAAAACACTCATACACATTTAAAAAAATTTTTTAAAGTCCAGAGCAACATGAGGTGACAGCTGATGTCAGCCTCTGGCTTCTACACACACACACACACACACACACACACACACACACACACACGAACACGTATGCACTCACACACACTTGCATACGCACATACACCACACACACAAGAGCACATTTTGTCTGGTGTGCTGATTGCCACAACGGGTGCTTCGTATCTTTATGGCTAGCATAATCCATGCCCCCAGCTCCATCTCTGGCCCTAGTGGACCATCCCTGATCCCCTGATGCCCAGGTCACTCTGCTCAATCAAGCATCAGTCAATTTAAATGACAGTCTTGAAAAATGATACCAATTCACTTTGGGGAAACTATCAAACTATACCAAACCTGGTTTAGACCAGTCTGTTTCTAAATGAAATGAACTTACTTTGTCTTCTTTTCAAACCCACTCATATACTTCATAATCATTTATTAAGTCCAAGGTATCTGCTCTACAAGGTGAGTGGGGACATAAAACAGTCCAACTGAAGCAATCAGAAAAGCAAGCAGTGAGCTACCTCCCTCTGTACATACACAAGACCTTCAAGGAGTGGGCAAGGCTCATGGCAAAAGAATCAGGACTTACATGCACCCACGAAACCTAACAGAAGGCCAAGGATAAATGAAGCAGCAGAAACTAGAAACGGGCCCTCTGCCAGCATTTATTAGGCACCAACTATATGAGTGAGGCAGAGTGAGTGAAACGAATGCAAAGGCTGGTAAAAGCAGGCTGGTGTGGGGGGGTGCTGCTTAGCGCCTTTAGGAAACAGGAAGTGCTCCCCAGAGCTTAGAGTTGAAGGAAAGATCAGAGGAAGTGGCATTCCTAGCAAGGAGACAGGCTACATGCAGCATAGCTCAAGATGACCACTGCACAGGATGCTGGGAGAGGAGGGGGAGATGGGGCTGCTGAAGGAGCCAAACTGGGAATCTGGAGTTGATGACTGCAGACTTGTCAACTTGACTTCATTCAGCCAAACATTAGCAGGGCCTCTGTGCATGAACTTGACATTTCCAGAATTGTGATGAGAGGAGACTGTGCAAAAGCCCTTGAAGAACTCAAAGGCTGAAGGGACAAGATGAAACGCTGGGGTCCCTGGTACTTTGAACTGCTCAGAAGTTAGGTTGTGCATTGTAGTTTCTCCTGCCCTGGAGGCAGCATAACTCCTAGAGGAGGTCAGTTAGGTGTGTCCAACTCTCAGGCCATATATGGCCAAGGATGGTTATAAATGCTGCCTGACAAGAAATTGTAAACTTACTTAAAATTTTGTGATAGCTTTCTGCAATTTTCTTCTGTAACTCAATTGCACAGTTCTCCAGTCTAAACTTTGTACATGACGCTGTTGTATCCCAATACCAAAAGGACACCCCTAGTAGTTGGAGTGTTTAGAACATGCCACCCTCCACAATCCCCCTTGGATACAAAATGACTGTGAGGATCTCTACCTGCCAGATCCCTGGCCTGTGATCCCTCCCCTAGAAACGCAGACTCCCACCTCTCCTCTCCACTACACACAGATGCTCACAGGAGATGATGCAGCTAGAGGGTGGGAGGCCTTGCCAAAGTCAAGCTGGAGCTGTTTATTCATGGCTGTCTGGGGTTTCACCTATAACAGGAGCATGGGAAGCCCAAGGCTGGCTGGCTGTACTACACAGGAGCAGCAGAGCCACGGTCATGGCCACAGCCGCGTTCTTCTGCTGCTTCCTCCCTGGCAACATTCACCTCCGCACACACTGAGCTCACCCCCACAGCCTCTCTGTCTCCTGGCCTGCCTCATCTGACCTTGATCTCCCAGTCTCTGACCTTATACCAGAGGGTCTCCCACCATGCCTGCCACACATTAACAGGTCGATAAATATTTCTGCGATAGCAAATGGAAGCTAACGCTTACTTCCTATTCACCACCTGTGCTTCGTGCCTCTATCTTCACTCTGTGTCTTTGAACCTAGTTATTAATAGGGCTTGGGAGTAGATTACACACGCACAGCTGCCTTGCCGGATGGTGTGTTGTCCCTGAGTCTCTACTGCAAACTGATTGGAAACACCCAGCCCTGCAGCTTATCAGGCAGGACACGGGCCCTTTCTGTGATCAGGGCAATGGTCACGCAGGCAACCCACTCATTCGCTCATCAAACATTTATTGAGGTCACGCTGTATGTCAGGCACAGAGCTGGGAGTTAAGAATGCAGACAAGAAAGACAAAGACAGAAACAAAGAATGTAGATGTGTGAAGGCCTTGATGCTGTGGGACCACCCAGAAGAATCAGGTGGGATAGACTTTGAGAAGCACAGAGCACAACAGTTGAATAGGAAGTAATGTTAATAATAAGCGTATCTTTTTACATTTTTTTGAGTCAAGATCTCATACAGCCTGCGTTAGCTGAAAATGACCTTGAACTTCTAACCCTCCTGCCTTTACCTCCCAAGCATTGTGATTACAGATGTGTGTCACAGTATCCAGTATTTAAGCTGTATTGTGCCTCCAACTCCAGCTCATGTTAGGCAAGCATTCTACCAACTGAACTATGTGCTCAGCTCTTAATAAGGATATTAATAAGAAATAAGAATATACTTACAAAACCAACCACTAAAGGCCTTTTCTCTTTCTCTTTCTTTCCTTCTTTCTTTCTTTCTTTCTTTCTTTCTTTCTTTCTTTCTTTCTTTCTTTCTTTCTTTCTTTCTGTAGTATTGAGATAAAAACTCAGGGCTTCTCACATGCTGTTCATGTGCTTAGCCCTAAACATATGTTCCTCTGCTTTAGTTTAGATAGGTAATAGTCAGTTATAGTGGTTGACATCTATAATGTACCTACTGCATATCAGGCACTTCGCTGTGGGCTTTACTGAGCATAAGAACACTTTGAAGTGGATTATTAGTGTTTGGGTGTAAGGGGTGACTATTTGCTCTTGTTTTCACATGTGGCTGGTTTTAATGCCAGCTAAGCTACACTGAGACAGAAAAGTTCAAAAAAAATAATAATTAAACCAGTTAAAAAGCAAAACAGCATTGGGACTGAAGTCAGGTTTCAGAGCCAATTTCCAAGAGGTAATTTCATCATCATAGAACATCAAATGTGAATTCCGCTTTCAGCTATGCAAATTCCAAAAGAATAATACCTCACATTTGCATAATGCTTGATGTTTTTCAAAGTGCGTTCCCAGTTATTAATCTACAGGAGGCTTTATTACCACCAGAAACATCAATTGAAACTCTGTTCCAACTCCATTATTTTTTCTACTTTCTCCTTAAAACCCAGAGATACCTAAATCCAGGTGTTTTTGAATGAGTAATTCTACAAATTGTGACTGACGGACTAGATATACACAAATGTAGCTCTTTGTGAGGTCTTCCCTCTCCAGACATCACAGAGCTGGCTTAAGAAAATCTGCTGTTGAATTAACAAACCCACGAGGGAACAACTCTATAGTTCAAGTTTGAGATTCTTTCAGGGTCTATAGTTTCATGGGAACTGCATCTTCTACTTCATCTGAAATCTGTTCTCTTCTATCACATTTTAGAAAATTGGGAAATTAGTTCGACCACTTTGTCACATCCCTCCCTGTCGATGATTTGCTGCAAAGTGGTCCAAGTTTGCCAAACGGCTTCCTTGTCTTTAATGTAATATGAACCAAGAGGATGAATCCACTGTAAACCCAACATGAAAAGGGTCTTAGAAAAACAAGTTGAGAATATATGACTGTGTATGAGGAGATACTTCTACCCAAATCTAATGTCTTTCCAATTTGGTTCTTTTTCCATCTCTTTCAGACTTAATTATGTGTAGCGTTCTTAGTCACTGAATCACCAGCATTTCCTGACACTTGACTCTCATGCATTTTAGCAAAAGATTAACCTGGCTGTTTGCTTTTAATTCTGAAGCTGTGTTAATACTCAACTCCCTCTAGATTAGAAAAGAAGAAAAACACACTCCCGAATACCCCACCTGGCACCAGCCAGGCACCAGGGCTGACATTTCTAGCCACATCACAGTCCTTGGGACTGGCTGCACTTACCATTTCAGGAGGGCCAAGAGAGCCACCGACAGGGTCACTGTCACCATGGTGCCACTCACTTCCAAGTTGAGAAACCCCAAGGCTTCCATTGTTCCTCTGAGACACCAGAGGGGTGGGTCTCTGGAGGAAAAAGGGAACTGATCTGCCTTTACAGGAACCCTGATCTGCAGGTGGTGGAAGAAACAGGCACCCAGAAACACATCACAAGTGGGTCTCCCAAAGAGCTCTTTCTCAGAGTGTGTCTTTATAAAGAGGAAGGACGAGGAGGGAGAAACAAAGGGTTTCAGTGTAAGGCAATGAATCAGCAACTTTATTTTCTGGATGACTGTGTTGTCAATAAACATTTATGTTAGCTTCCCGGGAAATAGCCGCAGACAGACAGGTCCCATAGCCACCAAGAAGCAAAATGGTTGCAACCATCGACTACTCCTCTGACAAACAGTCCTCAAAGGAAAGACTCTCCTTCAGTGATGATATGGATCAGGAGATTCTGAATGTCCTGATAAATCTGGGGGGCCAGACATCAGTTGGATGGGAAACACTGCTCCACAGCCAGCTACTCCAAAGTTTGTTGTTCACGGGGCGGGGGGTGGGGGGGGTGGACCCGCCTCGGTCAGAGGTGTGCTCAGTGTCTAGCAATTAGAGCAGACCACAGCTTTTGCCTCAGGTCATTGCTCTCAGCATGAGTTGGCGGGTTTCACAAACTTCTACATGGCCCGTATGTGGCTTGATTGTTTAGCTCTGAGCTGATCTGACTAAAACCAACTGAATCATTTTTTGCTTATTAATCAGCACACTTCACCTTGAGCCTGGGAAGGCTGGGAACCATTCACCATGACATTGTTCATCCATTTGTCCAGCATGTACAGGGTCAGCCTCTGTGCCACACTCACAAATGGTGCTGGCACCCAACCCCAGAGAGTTTTCTTTGGAGAAAGATGAACAGTAAGCATATCTATAAATAAAAGAGTTAACTCCAAGTGGAAAACAGTGCTGTGATGGTCCTAAAGACAGAGCTGAGAGGAGAGTCTGTGGTTGGGAAGTCTCTCTAAAAAGGAAATCTTTTAGTGAGATTTGCCAGTGAAGGAGTGGTGTCCTGTAGTCCTGTAAAGAGCATTACCAAAGCCTCAAGCAATAAAGATAACACAACACATGGAAGCCCTTTGGGAGGGAAGAGTAAGCACTACAGAGAGGCCAACCAGCCTAGAATATAGATCATTCACAGCATTCCAGTCAGAATCCTGACTTCCTTTTTTGCCCCACTTCAAGCTGAAGTACACTCATTACAGATCCCTTGGGCTGCAGCTAAAGGAGTCACTGGAGAGAAAAGCAGAGACGTCACTTTGAGGCTGCTACCTTCATCCAGGATTGAGGAGGCTTAGACTAGGGAGGTAGAAGGGTGCTGATGGTAGAAGGAAATAGATGCTGTGTGAATACTGAAAAAATTCTAGGTAGATTGATGTGAAGGGAAAGTGGAAGAAAGGAACATTTCTAACTTCCTGACCCCTAACGTGAGCTACAGGAGGGTATGGTGATGTTACAGAGGTGGAGAATGTTAAGGGAAACACTAAGAAAACCAGGGCTGGAGAGATGGCTCAGCAGTTAGAACACTGGCTACTCTTGCAGAGGACCCAGATTTTGTTCCCAGCATTCCCATGGCGACTAACAACTGTCCGTAACTCCAGTTCTAGGGGATCCAATGTCCTCTTCCAGTTTCCTCCTGTTTGCATGCATTCAGTGCACTTACACACATGTAGGCAAAACACTCATATACATAAAATAAAAATAAATTTTAAAAATGAATATTGAGATCATCAAGGGTTTTGTTTTGGTCCTGTAAGATGGAGATGCCTGGTGGGCATATGAATAAACTGTGAAGTTGAGAGGAACCTTGGCCGAAAATACAATCATAAGTAATCATTTAACGCCATTTGTGAGATCCTACTAGATGTTAGTCACTATTCTGCAACAGTTCATGTATTTCAATTCCTTCATTCCTCATGCTCAGGCTTAGCAAGTAAAACTTGTGAATTAATCCCATTTTACACAAGAAAAAACTGAGGCACTTCAAAACCTAGTCTCTTCATCAAATGATGATATACAAATGTGGAAGTCACCTTCATAACCTTGGCATTGAAATTCAGAAGAATAGATGAATTACCCACCAGAAATATGACAGTGAAGCTTACAGGTACCAAGTCCTTTCCCTGCTTTCAGACTGCCCTGAAGACCCTTTTGGGTGCCTATTTTATGCACCCAGTACAGCAGCCCATTGGATCCAAGTATCCCAGGCTGCAACCCAGTCCTTTTAGAGTCCCTTCTCCTGTGTCCCATTCCAACAGTATCAACACTGAGATGTCAACATGTCAACAAGGCTGTGTGCTCTTTCTCCCAGAGCAGGTCTTCTCCTTGACAGGGGCTGATGCTCCACAGAGTAACAGCGAGGGAAGTAAGGGCAGCAGTAAGTTCATGGCCGTGGGTTCAGGGGAGGAATGACTTCAGATGTAACTTAATTCAATGCGTGTGTCAGGCTCAGAAAAATTTTTTTCTAAGGACTCCAAGGTGAAATAAATGTGAGAAAAGCTGACTTAAACATCAATAAGTAAGTTTATTTACTGCAGGATTGCTCAGCTGTGAAGCTGCTGATGTGCCCTGGGAATGTCAAGAGGGACGTGGAAAGCAGCAGGACTCAAGTGCATTTGACCACAGACTCCTTCTTCAGAGACATTTATTAACATACCCAGGATGTACTCTAAGGAACTTGTTTGAGAAATGCTGATCAAGGCAAAGTCTTATTTATAGAGGTAAAAACAGAAACCCAGAAAGGAAGAGTGACTCGGATGAGGTCCATAACTGTGTCATGCTAGAAACTAGTCTGCTATCCCTTCAGAATATGTCCCTCATGTCACCTTGAGGATACAGCATGCCCATAACTGACCCAGGTCCCATTCTAAAGTACATTGCAGGTACTTTAGAATACTGCTGACCAGCTCAGAGATGTCCAACTTTCTGAGGGGTTGCCCTCTCCCCTAGGGGCACTAAATTCATGTGGTCATTCCTCTAACAGTCCTGGCAGACTTCCTAGATGACGTGTGATTTGTAGAAACTCTAACTATCATGGTGAAATGACCACACTCTTTCTATGACTGCTGCAGGGCAGAGATAATACTCTGCCTGTACTGTAGACAGTAAACTAACCAATGTGAAGTATGCGAGATCTAAAGGATTTTCAGTGAGAAAGTAAGATAATTAGGGATGTATTCCAATTTTGATATCCATGAAGAAATGCAGGAACTCTGTTAACAAGTTGAGGTACGGCCCCCAGCATCTTTGTCCACACACATACAAATACACATATTTTTAGTTTTTGTCAAAGCAAATTCATTATATCCATGCCATTTTACCACTGTGATATGAATATCTGCCACATCCACACCCAGAGAAATGTATCAATGGCTTCTTAGGACTTTACCATGGATGTGCCTGGAGTCATTTAGCCCATCCTCTACTGAGTGGCCCTTCAAGTTGTTTCTAGTTTTGTCAACTTCAAATGAGCTCTTAAAGGTAGAATTGCTGAGGCCTGTGAAGGGTCTGCAGGGGACGGGGTCGGACTCAGAAATGGATATCATAAAACTACATGGAGGAACTCCAGCCAACTTTCTTGATGTTGGTGGTGGTGCCACAGTTCAGCAAGTAACAGAAGCATTTAAGCTTATCACTGCAGACAAAATGGCTACTCTGGTCAACATTTTTGGAGGAATCGGGAGATGTGATATTATTGTATAGGGAATAGTCATGGCAGTAAAAGATTTAGAGATTAAAATACCTGTTGTACAGTTACAAGGTACACAAGTCGATGATGCTAAGGCACTGATAGCAGACAGTGGACTTAAAATTCTTGCTTGTGATGACTTGGATGAAGCTGCTAAAATGGTTGTGAAACTCTCTGAAATAGTGACCTTGGCTAAGCAAGCCCATGTGGATGTGAAATTTCAGTTGCCAATCTGAGCAAGAACCTGGTGGATGGCTGACAGTGTTAAATGCGCTATAATTCTTTAAAATACTGTGGTCTGTGTTACTGTCCCTTTTCTTTTTAGTGTGAAGATTGTAATTGCCACATAGGCACACAAACCTTCGAAAGCATTTGGTCTGCATATAATTCTGCTGCTTGGAATGGACTGTTACATAAAGAATGTATAATGCATATTTCTAGTTTCTTTTGTTGCAGTCATCTTTTCTGCTTCTACAGAATGACTGTCCCTTGAAGTATGCCTGTTTCTGTTGTTGGATACAAAGTTCTTCATAGATAAGAGACCTATAAATAAAATAAATATGAAAAAAAGTGGAATTGCTGAATGCAAAGACAAGCTACCCTCTGTCCAGGCAGTGTGATCTCCTGCCCCGCCCTCCAGAGCAGTGTGTGAAGGACTCCACTGAGAGTACATGTAGGCTACCCTATGGAGCCGTTTCTCTTGTCTCCTCCCTCTGAGTCTATCCTCTTTCCCACCTACCTCCAGGCAGACATCCCCCCAAAGATGAATCAACTGTTTTGACTTAAGTCTTGTGTTTCTTTTTAAAGCTTTCATTCCATAAATTCTCTGGAATTTCCTCCATGTTCCCTGTGTTTAAAAACTGCATGTGCGGATGTCTATGTAGTGCCTTCCTTCTCAGTCGAAGGATCCCAGCTGCTCAGAGCTAAGCTTGACATCTCTGATGGGAACGAGGCAGAGGCGGAAAGAGGTGTCCTTGGGAAATGTTCTCATTGCTAAGCAGGCAATTCAACAACCCTCTTAGCACTATACAAGCACCAAAACCTCTACACATACCCTGAGAGCGCTCCCAGGAGCAGGTGACCAGCACTTTTCCTTCCTGAGCTCCAAGCTGAAGAAACTGGATGTCTATGATGTCTGAGATGTCCCATGACATCTAAAATCAGACTCTCAGTACATTCTAGATGCCAGGCTCAAGTCCTAGTTTTCTGGATCTAAACCCAATAGGGTTTTCCTTTTTCATACTAAAACTAAAGTCACATCTTGGCTTAGAATATTCATTGTTTGTAGAGTTGATCCATGGTGGGGATTTGGTTTATTCCTAAACTGTCATCCTTAGAGTGCAGAGCTGCACAGCCCAGATGGTCTGCTTTGCCTCCTTAATGAAGACGGGGGGGGGGGGTGTCCCTTTGGAAGACTCAAAACTTCAGCTGTCCCAATTCAGTTCCATCTCCTCATTGTTCCC